TTCTTATCTTTCCTATGCTATACACATATACACTCCCCTATATTACTACTCAAATATATACCACTAATATTTTAGGTGATAGGATGAAATAATTATAAGAAAGATTAAAAGACATAATATATTTTATTATTGATGAGAAAAGTATGATCAGATGACAAATACTTATATTGATTGATATATGATTAAGACAAGCATTTCCTAAAAACAAAAATATATCTTTTGGCAAAAGATTTATTATAATATTTGAAGATTTTAGTTAGCTTTTATTAGTACTTGATTTACCTATATATGCAGTTAATATATTGTAAGACACTATATTAAATGACAATATAGTATCATATAAACAATTTTGAAAAGTGTATAAATTTGAAATCATTCAAAAACAATCAGGAAATTCTGATGACAAAAATGCTTTAGAGAAATACTTTTAAGATTATGTGAAGAAAATAGTATTCTAGATGATTGGAAATAACTTATCATAATATTTGAAAGAAATTTAACAGAATCGAGCTGGATCAATTTTTAAACATCATATTTGTATCTATAAAGTGAGATGACTTTGATATAACTAATATTGAAATGTTCAAAAAATTGAACCAGCTAGTAGCTAAGATTATTGCAAATCATACAGAAAGATAAAAATTCAAATGTATTAGTTCAAAAGTAATAAAGGGTCTTAAATCTCAATTACTACTGGTAAAAAGCTTCTGAATTATATTAACAGCGAATATATAAACTGAAGTAGAACTGGTAAAGCTCTGAACAGTTCAGTTCAGTCCAGATTAAATGTTAATCTGTATCTGAACTAAAAATTTTAGTTAGTTCAGATTATTAATCTTAAAAATACTAATCTGAATCTGAACTGAACCGCAGACTGGTAAAAATCTGAACTAAACTGAAATTTTCAGATTAATTCAAAATTACGGCTTTATTATATAAGGAATCTGCAATTTATATGCAAAACTTTAGGAGAATCACAATTTTTTGCACTCTCCAAAAATTTCACAATATTTTTTATGAAATTCTAAAAGAAATCGCAAAAATTGCGATTCTCTAAGAGTTTCACAATTTTTTTGTGAAATTCGAAGAGAAATCACAATTTTTTGTGACTCTCTAAGAGTTTTGCAATATTTTGTGATTTCTTAAAGAATTTATGAATTTTGCGATTCTCCAAGAGTTTCGCATATAATTGAACTAAACTTTCAGATTAATCTGAAATTATCAGTTCAGTTCAGATTTTTTTTCAGTTTGTATTAGAATTATAATCCGAAAAAAATCTGAACTAAACTGAAAATTTTCAGATCGATTTTTATGCAATCTGAAACTGATCCAAACTGAACTGATCTAAAAAATCTTAGGATTAATCTGAACTATTCAGAGCTTTAATCCTTCACTCCAATATTTGTTATTGAGGTTGATTTTATTAAAACTGAAGCACAATTCCAAGTATTTGACAATAGATTTAGAAATGAATTTTTTGCATCAGAAACTAGAGGTTGGAACCGGTTAAAACGGTTAACATATTAATCGGTTAAAGATTTTTTTAACCGGTTAAAATAAATGAATTTAAATCCGGCCGAAATTCAATTGCCGACCAGAATTAAGATTTTTATGATTGTCTAACTCTGGCCAAATTTATAATACTGGCCAAAGTTAATTTTAACCGGTTATTAACCGGTTAAAGAATTTTCGGCCGGTTCCAACCTCTACCGGGAACATCTGTGGAGTTAGGATTTCTGGTTAGCATCGGCCAAGATAATAACGGCCAGCTACAGGGAAATATCCATTCGTGGAGGATGTACGAAAATAAAAATACTGTACGTCATTATGAACATGGATGGAGAAGTATGAAAACCAGGGTTAACGGTCAGGAGAGTCTTCCAGGTTTCGCCTTGGATGTTGAAATGATTGAAGAAGCTATTTCGCAAGTATGTTGTAACTACTTATTATTGATGATTTTATTTTAAAGCTTATCGTTTATTTATTTTATAGCAAGACTCGTGTTCAAGTTCTAAATGCGATGAAACCTTTTCGGTCTGGCACATTTTCCTTAAGCATTGTCAAAAGGAGCATGCGCTTAAGCGACGTACCCAAACCAACGCGTTAATTAATAGATTATAATGAGTCTCAAATGTTGCTAAAAAAAAAAAAAATCTATTTTCTTATGTGCAGTAATTTGACTGTTAAGGTTTATTTTGTAGAAATTTCGCTTCATCTAGTTATTATTATTAATTGCTTATTTTTTATTTTTCTAAAGTGTGATTTATAATGCATATTATATATATTTCGAGTTTCCTTCTTTATAATAAGATTATATTAAGTGCTTTATACTTTATGTTATTTACTGCGTCGAGTTTACAGCGCCAAGTTTACTGCACTCGTGATCGGCAATATCTGTTATAGTGTTCCGAAAACATATCTATAAAGTTTCGCCTACATTGGGCTTTATTTTAAACTGTGTATATGTTGTTATCTTTGGTAACTGTTATATGCTGGGGTGTTTTCTGATAAATGTATAATGCTTATGCTACTTCAATCATTATTTTTAGCATTCCGGGGATGTTACTTGCACAAACACTTGAACATTACTCAGATTAAGTGTACTAAATTCGTTACTAAATGGCAGAAATAGAAGAGATCATTTACTTATATGCGGAAATACCCACTTTGCATCCTGATTATAAGTCTATTATAAATAAAATGCCACCAATTCTAGTCAAAAGAGCTTTTGATCAATTACTTAATATAAAGCGCAATCCTGTTTTACAGAAAAAAGTGATTTGATTGAGCAATATTTGCGCCACAAATTAATTGTTTATGAACAGGCAAAAAGTCGAAGGGCTTTTGTTTTATAGTATGAACACCGGAATGCAGACAGAGAATAGTAGTTTCTCAGATAAAGCAATACAAACTGATTCTTTGGATAAAGCAACCCAAACAGAAGGTATCGATTTCTTAAAGCAAATTAAAAAGGGTAATATATTGTTAACAGGCATTTTATCGAATATCTAATTCTATATCATTCTCAATTCTAGCATAATAAGTATATATATATTTTTTTTTCTGGCTTCGAACTTCTGAGAAGCCGGGCGCGCAAAATAACTGAACAAGATGTTCCATCCCGATTATAACTACATTACAGATAATTCCCGAAAAGCATAAAAGATAGGCATACCAAAGGCTTCTACATCACTCGCAAAACCTATTCCTCCAGAACAGATTTCTGGGAGATGTGATCGGATAAAGAATACTTGTGCAATACATTAGAGATTTACCAGAATTCATTAGATCGGAGTCGCAAAACTATGAATCGGAAAAAACTGCGCCCCAAAGTTGGCCAGAATGTCCTCTTACGTTTCAGATAATGGAACACAAACTGTCAATATTGCCTGCAATCAGGAGGCGGAAATTAATGGCCGGGGTAAAAATGAACTAATCATCCGGCAAAAGCAATTGCTTAATTATAATAATGAAAACATTGGCCGATTCATGCAAGATTTGACTAAAGAACATGAGGAACGAATTATAGCTAATAAGCAACCGTGCCATGAGATTAATAAAAATGAAGGTTCAAGTGCTGGAGATGGAAAAAGTCCTTGCTTCGATGGGTATGAGAAGCAGAAAGAAAATAATATTAAGAATACTGTTGAATCTCGGGTTGGTGAGGAACGTAAACGTCTAAAAGGTGCATATGATGCTCTTAAAGTTCGCCTAGAAAATGAGTATAATATATGAAAATTTTCGGGACATTTTTTTTTCAGCTGTATTCTTACTGCGGAAATCGACTATCTTCACGTGATAAATAAAAATGAATATTTATATGATCTGCCCAAATATAACCAACGCTTAACTTGTTTTTTTTTTTTATAATAAAAAATGTCAAGAGTTCGAAGGTTTCGAAAGCACCTAGACCCCGATAATTTAAACCTCATTTCAATACTCCAATTTCGTCGCGACCAAGACGATTTTCATAGAGTAAACTCAATGAACATGCACTTATATCAAAATTTTTAAATGGTCTGAGGCTGCACTTTCTCTCAAAAAGGATGGATTACTGGTCAGTATTTATATTTGTTTTTAAACTTTGCAAAGCGGTGTGAGGAGATAGGAAAGAAGTTGTACATTGTCAAAACAACCACCAAGCTACCCAACAATGCTTGGAGTAGTTATGGATGCTCTCCGGTGGCTTCGTTCTAAGTCTGCATGAAGGACTGAAACCATGCTTTCGGTGCCAAGAACGCGTTTCGTTTGCAGCCACCTGACATCTAGCTTATGTTAACACAATTTTGTGCTTATGGTTTACAGAATCAATTCATTGTTAATAGGTCGATTTCTAATAATAAAGCACACGACCTAATTGAACCTCAAAAATGAAGAAAACTTAATTAGCGAAAAGCCCTCTATCCATTGGTGTTGTCAACATTAATAACATCGTGATAGGCGTTAAAACCATTCTATCTTGGAAGGCGCGGACCAGAAAGAACACCATGAAATTTTATGAAGCATTAAATAAAGGGCATAAGCGCTTGACCAATGGAGTTTTTTTTTCACCGGTTAAATCCAGGGTATGATCCCGGAACTTCTGTCGATATCATAAATAACATGGTGAGTTTGTTATTTTCCAAGTATATTTTTATGATCAAAAATTTATGCGCACGATTCTTAAAATTTAATTCCCACTTTTATTTAAAAAAATTTTGGATTTCTAGAAGACTGCATGACGCGTTAATAAACTTACAACAGTTCTTATTAAAGCATGTGAATAATATCTCAAAAGAATGATGAATTCTTTGACCATATTTCGAGAAATAATTGTACCATCAGGGGAGATTTTATGCTATACCAGATTATTTAAATTAACCTAATGAGCATTGGAAAGTGAACAAAAAAATAGATCATTATAAAGCATTTTCCTGGTACAATGGTGGATGAACTCGGATTTATAAATGGTGTTTATCTCTGAAATTGCTTTAAAGTAGAGTAGGGAGTGAAAAAATGATTCGTGCGTTTAAATTAAGCATCAATTATATTATTTTAATATAGTTTAAAAATCATTATTAATCTGATGAAAAAAATTCAGTGCGACAAATTTTCACTTTTTTATTTATAAATGTCGGCCTGAATTATGATGTTTAAATCCTCTCATGGACGAATCTGAGCCGTCGTTTTTTCTGATAATTTGACATAACATACTAAATAAAACCAAGTAAACTTCCAAAAGGGCTATGTGCTTAAATTAAAATTTTCTGACATATGATGAGTAATGTTCTTTAATATTTCCTGCTAAATAATTTGATAAATAGACAGATTGACACTGGCATTTGTCTAAAAATATATTTTGCTAATTAAACTCCCTCTTTTTTTTTTTAGTCCAACTTAATTATATTCTCAGTTATAAGATGTATGGTTTTGAAATTCAAAAAAATTCATTTAAGATATGATTACTTAAAATTTAAACTTTAAACCGCAATGTAAGTATGACAACAGTCGGATCATGTAAGATTTCCCAATTTTAAGATTAAAAGTCGTCACGAGTTCCAAAGTATTATTAAATATCTCGTATTTATATAATGTCATCCAAAATTCATGTTCATGTTGAGTGTGGGATGATTTCATTGTTTTCCATAAATATCCAGCAATCTTAGAAGAATATGTTACGCAATCATACCATTTGATTTAGCAGATATATTCATTTGGAAACATCTTTTCGAAATAAAATGTATACATTCGGAGTTCCTTTCGCGCTTCTTTGGTAAGGTCTAAAATCGGAATAATTTTCTCAAACAATTTTTTAACGACCGGACTTTCTTTCTCTTTATTTAATAAATGCTCTTGATCGGTTATTGATGTTTTAGTTCATCCAGCCTTTTTGTTACACTTAATTTTTCAGTGATTATTGGTAAATTGGTAGAGGTAGTCAAGGAGAGGAAGTAGCTGCAGTAAGTTGATGCCCCCACTGCGTGATCAACGACGAATTGAACTTCTGTTTGTCATGTTTGTTTTCTTTTTGTTTTAAAAAAGGAAAGGCATGTAAAATGAGAACATATGAACGAAAAAGAAAATGGAAAAAAAGAATTTAAGGTTTGGGAATTTCCGGCACAATGAACATAAAAAAATTAGAAAATTGGTTTCCAATTTATATCTTTTTTTATTATTAAAAAAAAAAATTTAAATCGATTTATAGAAAATTCCAAAAAAAAAATTTAATGAGAATAACAGAAACAAAATTCAAATCCAAATCATTAGCCAAATAAAATATAGTTTGGTCAAATCTTTTGTTGAAACCATGAAATTTTCAGGATAATTGCAAAACAAAACTAATCCTTAAATCAGGCCCCCTTTTTTTTGTAAACAGATTTCGTTCTTCATACGGTATGTAGCGAGATTTTCAATTTTAAGAATTGCATGATGAAAATAATCGGTCAAAAGAACAGAAAATTTGCACACTTTATTTAGAGATTGAGGAATTATATTTTGAGAGGTAATGGAAATATTAAGGGTTTTGATGGGAGCTGTTTGTTACCCGTTGAAACATTTGCCATCCGTCTAAACCTTTGTCAACCTGTTGAAACTTTGCGGCTTTAACATTAACATAAATTTCTTTAAGATATTTTTTTTTTTTGTAGTAAAAATAGTAAGTAGGATTATTACAATAAAATAAAAAGTTTTTTTTTGAGTGAATATTGAAATGCCTGTCGACATTTTGCCTCCGAGGTTATGAACAAGGGCGTTACCTCTTAACTTAATCTTACGCTTTGGAGAAATTGGGCATACAGGTTGATAAGCCACTACCATTCACAGTTCTTATTTCGTTTATTAACATTTCATTCAATTTAAATAAAAATTTTTACATTTAACGTTTTCAAAGATTTTGGAATCACGTTTTCTGTAAGCTTATAAATCGCTTATTGCGTTTTAAATTCATCAAATCAGTCTCATTCAAAATGATTTGATATTTATTAATAGGGACTCACTTATTCTCATAAAAACGATAAAACAAATACTGAATGGCCTGGCGATAAGGTATATCCCTTTATTTTTTATTTTTTCCTTTCTATTCTAACCTGCATTTATATATATATATATATATATTTGATTTTTATATTACTTTATTTTAATGC